AATTGCTTTTCCCTTTGGGAACACACTCGATTGGGTAACAAGTGGTGAGGCTGCCCCCTTCTGGACATGGTGGGTAAGGTGGCAAGTGAGGACAGCTGTTAGGGAATAATTTGGGAACTCTCTGAGCAGACGGTCATAGGGTGGGCCCAGGCACCTTGTCAGGTGGGTGGGAATTGAGAATTCAGTCAAAGCAGGAATTTAGAGTCCCAGGAGACGCAAAATCTCTAACACCAGGGGGCAAGATGACCCAAGCAGGCTAGAGGAACTGGTGATGTTTGAATTGCCTGTGAAAAGCTGAGCAGCATTGTCTCCGTGTGCTGGGAGCCTTAAGAGGGTTTCAGTTCATCATTTCCCAGAGGAGCAGAAACCTGAGCTGGACTTTGCCTATGTGTAGGGTTCAGCAGGGCTTTGGAAGATCATCAGGGTTGTAATTACAGTGAATCAGACCCTAAAAATCAACTTCAGTTTCTCACTGGTCTAAAAATGCTTGTTTGTACGAAGCAGTTTTTTGGATACTGATGACCCATTCCCTCCTCCTGCAAATTTGGAGACTTCCAAGAGGCCCCTCCCACCTCCCTGAGGCTCCTTCTTTCCCAGACCCTCTTCCTGGGGCTTGAAGGTGGGCCCACTGCTGCTCCTGGGAGCCTCGCCTGGCCTGGCTCCTCACTCAGCTCACACCCAGCACACCCACTCCCAAGGTGGCGCCTCTTCCCTGAGGCCAAGCACTCTCGAGATGACAGCTCTAGCTCCTGAGTTTCAGGTGCCCATTTCCACGTGGGTGTTGTGAGCACGCTTCAACTTACGATAACCCAGACCAATGAGATGATCTCTCCCTCTCCTGTATTTAGACTTCTGATCAGCTGATGGCACGACCCACAAGGGCTAGAGCCTTCACAGTGACGGGTAACTCTGGGCTACCTCATCACCTGTGTCCTGACACCATCACCTCTCCCATGCTGCCCGGCAGACAGGGCGGGCTCTCAGGGTGACTGCAATTCACCTTTCTGTATCTTTGCTCAGGAATCAACCATTCCCATCCTTCCACAAACCCTTATCTCTGACTGTCCAAATCTCAGGGCCAGATAAAGGTTTCCACTTATATTCTACCTGCTTCCCCAGCCCGACATGTGGCCCTGCTCTCGTGTGCCATTGCTCAGCACATTCCCGTGTTCCAGAGCATGCCATCCGTGAATTGCACTTGCTGACATCTATGCAACATTAATCATGTACACTGTGAGCTCACTGTCAGCAGGATGTTTATCTGATCCAGAGATGTGTACATATTTGGGCTCAATAGATGGATCTTGTGCCCAGGAGCATGCCATGTGTATCCTTGCCTGTCTTCCCAGCTGGTGGACACATTTCTTGAGGACGGGACTCAGTATAACTCAGCTTTGTGTTCCTTACAGAGGCAGTGCCTGGCACAACTGGAACATATAATAAACGCTGAATTGGATGCTTGAAGCAACCCCATTAATCATGTAGTATTTGTTGTACCTTGAAGAATTCTAACAGTGCAAGTTTTGGACAAAGCAGATGAGCCTATGAGAGATACTGAGATGGAAGTGGTAGAGATGGCGGAAGGAATCTAAGAGATTGTCAGTGACCAGACAGGGAAGTGTTTACCTGGAAAGAGAGCTCAGACAAGAAGACGGCTGATCTGGCAGCACAGAAGTCTTTATGGGAAGCACTTCTCTTTGGGCGGAAAGGAACAGAAGCCAGACAAAAGAGCATGGATGGGGAGGAGATGTGGAAATAGAGAGAAAGAGTATTTATTGATAACTTCTCTGTAGAAGTGAGGAGTTACAGAGAGAAAGAGACATGAAAATGAGGTTCAGAGAAGATTCTCTTCCAAAATGGGATATTCATGACTATGACTAAGAACTTCTGAAGTGAGGAAGGCTTTCCTAAGTAAAATATAAAACCCCAAGTAAGAAACTGTAGTGTGTGTGCATGCTCAGTTGTGTCCGACTCTCAGCAACCCCATGGACTGTAGCCCACCAGGCTCCTCTGTCCATGGAATTCTCCAGGCAGGAATACTGCAGTGGGTTGCCATTCCCTTCTCCAGCAGATCTTCCTGACCTAGGGACTGAACCTGGGTCTCCTGCATTGGCAGGCAGATTCTTTACCACTGAACTCCCTGGGAAGTAGGAAACTTAATTACCTAAAAATTAATAATTTGGGGGACTTCCCTAGTGGTCCAGTAGTTAAGAATCTACTTGCCAATGCAGGCGACCAGGGTTTGTTCCTTGGTTGGGGAACTAAGATCCCACATGTCTCAGGGCAACTAAGCCTGTGTGCCACGAGTAGGGAGAAGCCCTAGTTCTGCATTGAAAGATCCTGTACACTGCAACTGAGACCTCACAGAGCCATACATTTTTTAAAAAATTAATTATTTTTGACATGATAAAAGACGGTGAAACATCAGGCAAGAACATTTGCAACATATATAACAGGTGTAACACAAAATTTGGACTCTACAAGGTCTATGAGGTGAAAAACGATGTGTTTTCTTTTTATAACTACACTCAACTTGCTCCTCAGCCCTCACTTCTAACTACAGCAGAAAAAAAACCCATCAAAAAACAAAAAAAATTACACACTATAAATCAACTATACTTGAATAAAAAACAAAAGAAAGCAAAAACAAAAATCAAAATATTCCTTCAGAGTAACTTAGTTGTTTTGAACATATTCATCCTTAAAACCCAGACGGGGACTTCTCTGGTGGTCCAGTGGCTAAGATTCTGTGCCTCCAATGCAGGGGGCCCAGGTTCAATTCCTGGTTGGGGAACTAGATCCCACATGCCTTAACTGAAGATCTTGCATATCGCAACTAAGACTTGGCGCAGGCAAATAAACAACAGCAATAAAACCCAACCCAGATTATCTGCTCTGTCTTCAAAGAATCCATCACTTTCTCATGGTTTCTTTGATCTTTGTACTTATTTCTGCTGGTTGACATCATTCTGTCTTGCAGTGACATATTGCATGTCTGTGTGTGCAATGTGACCTTGAGTTTGCTGAGAGCAAGAACACGCTCAGCGTCCAGTATACATGCACATTACCTGTATTTATTTGTTGGCTCTTGTTGATTAAAAGTCATTTAAGTCCCCTGTGTGCGTCAGTGTTTTGGAGTGTTAGGTAGGACTATTTCTGCATGTGTCACATTTCTCAAAGGAAGTTGTAGTAATTAAGATTTTACCCACCCTTTCAGAATTTTTCCAAGAATCAAAATTCTCTCTCTAGTCTCTTGTCTTCCTCCTCTTAGTCTTCCTTTTTAACTTAGGTGGTGATTTAGTTGCTAAGTCGTGTCCAACTCTTGCAACACCATGGATTGTAGCCTGCCAGGCTCCTCCCTTCCATGGCATTTCCCAGGCAAGAATATTGGAGGGGGTTGCCATTTGCTTCTCCAGGGGGTCTTCTTGACCCAGGGATCAGATCCAGGTTGCCTTTATTGCAGGCAGAGTCTTTACTAACCAAGTCACCAGGGAAGCTCCCTTTTAATTTGTTGCTGCTGCTGCTAAGTCGCTTCAGTCGTGTCCAACTCTGTGAAACCCCATAGATGGCAGCCCACCAGGCTCGCCTGTCACCGGGATTCTCCAGGCAAGAACACTGGAGTGGGTTTCCTTCTCCTTCCATTCCTCCTTCCATTTCCTTCTCCAATGCATGACAGTGAAAAGGGAAAGTGAAGTCGTTCAGTCGTGTCCGACTCTTAGCGACCCAATGGACTGCAGCCTACCAGGCTCCTCTGTCCATGGGATTTTCCAGGCAAGAGTACTGGAGTGGGGTGCCTTTGCCTTCTCCCCCTTTAACTTAGGTAAGTAGTAAAATGCACATAAATGAAGTGCAGAGCTCACTGAACTTTTATATACATATACCCCTGTGTAGTCATCTCCCAGATCAAGATCCAGAACATTTTCTGCCCCAGCAGGCTCCCTCCTGCCTCTTTTCAGACCCCACCTTCTCCAAATATAACTATGTTCTGATTTCTAGCACCATGTACTTGACTAGTTTTACCTGTTTTTGAACCTCATATAAGTTGAATCATACAGCTTATACTTCTTTGTGTCTGACTTCTTTTGTTCAACATTATGTTTGTGAGATTCAAACATGTTGAGTGTGTCTATAGTCTGTTGTTTCTCTGGTGTAGATTTTATTGTATGAATAGCAATTATGCTTTTAATAACAAATCTTTCTTGATTTTTTAAAGAAACAGTCACTCCTAAATCTACAACATTATTTTGCCATAGATGTATTTGGCTTTATAATATTTTTTTCCTGTCCTAAATGAGTGGCTAACACATAAGAGAAAAGAGAGTCCATTTTCAGAAAACATGATTTTAAAATACACAAATAAAAATTAACAAACTCTTCCCTTATACTGCCTAGGTATGAACTATTGGGTATAAGATAGGCTATAAGGATGTATTGTACAACATGGTGGATACAGCCAAAATTTTGTAATGACTGTAAATGGAATGCAACCTTTAAAAACCATATAAATATTTTTAAAAATTTTTGGATGTGATGTATTGGAAGGTTGGGATTGACATATATACATATACCATGACATATATACACTATTGATTCCTATAAAACAGGAAACTAATGATAACTTGTACAGCACAAGGAACTCTGCTCAGTGGTCTGCGTTGACCTATTTGGGAAGGGAATCCGAACAAGAGGGGCTCCATGTAAATGTATAGCTGATTCACTTTGCTGTGCAGTTGGAACTAACACAACATTGGAAAGCAACTATACTCAAAATTTAAAAAAAAAATTTTTTTTTTTTTAAAGTGCAATTTATTCACTAGCTCCTTTCCATAGAGCTGGGCAGGAAATTGACCTAGATTCAGGATGGAAGACAGCCCTGAATGTGAGCTTGGACCATGGGAGTGGCCTGGAGTGGGTTCCTTGAGTAGAAACCTCCCTCGCCTTATGTGCTGCTTTATGTCTCCCCTCTCCCCCTGCCCCCGCCACTGTTTTTTTCCAGTGAGATGAGTCAGAAAGTGGCTAAGGAGGGCCCCCGACTCTCCAAGAACCAGAGGTTCTCCGAGCACTTCAGCATACATTGCTGCCCGCCGTTCACCTTCCTCAACTCCAAACGCGAGATCGTGGACCGCAAGTACAGCATCTGTAAAAGTGGCTGCTTCTACCAGAAGAAAGAGGAGGACTGGATCTGCTGCGCCTGCCAGAAGACCAGGTGAGTGGTCTGTGCTGCCGCCGGCACCGGGGCTGCGCGTTGGCCTCTGTCTCGCTCCGCTCTGCGATGCTGGGGCCGGGGCTCTCCGCACGCTGCGCTTCCCCCAGCCCCCTGGCAGTCGGCTCCCGTTCGGCTCTGCCACTGGAAGGTACTGGAGGGAGACTGGACGGTGGGAGGGGGAGCAGGGCTGCCTCCGTGTTTCCAGCTCCGGTCAGCATCACTTAGGCAGCAGAGGAGAGCCCCTGCCCCAGCCTGCAGCTTCTTTTGGCCCTCTCAGACCCAGCCGCCGCGCCACGTCCCCTCAGAGGCCCAAGCGCCAGCCAGCTGCGCCCCCCGCGGTGGTCAGAGCGCCAGCCAAGCCACGGTCCCCTCCGAGGCCCGAACGCCAGCCACGCCCCCGCCCAGAAGCCCGGCCTCCACCAGCCAAGCAGCGCCCCCCTCAGAAGGCCAAGCAGCAGCCGCGCAGCAGCCCCCAGAGAGGGCCTGGCACCAGCCGTGGGGGGCCCCCCGTCAAAGCTTCTAGGTTCTGGTAACACCGTCTCTTCCCTTTTGCTCCCCCCAGCCCTCAGGTTAGTAGTTGCTTCCTGTGTTTACTGCCAGTGGGTTATCTCAATGGTCCTCCTCCATTCAGCCTTGCAAACACTGTGTAATCGGTCCCCTGCATTAAATCCCCTCGCTGGAAACTCCTAGTGTGGCTCCTGTTTTGCTCAAAGATGCTGTTGGCACAACACTTCAGATGGCAGTGTGGGTTGCTTCCTTTGTCTAATAGGGCTGGAATGATTAATTTATAAAGTCAGAGTGTGAACCACAGTGACAGATTGAATAAACAAGGCCCTCGATTTCTGTGCCTCAGAGAGAGAAGGGATGAGGACTCTAAGGGGTATCTGTGTGTGTTAAAGGAGAGGGTCAGCCAGTTCATTCATCCCCCCTCCAAGCACACTTCATCTGATGTTAACCTCAATGGCAAGATCATTCACTCATCAACAAGCTTGATTGCCTATGTATAGAGTTCCACATACTATGTTGGGGATGGGGATGCAGCTGAAACAACCAGGTTGTTTGTGACTCACCAGGACCAAATGAGAGAAGAGTTAGCTAGAGTGTAGGGTTAAATGCTCTAGTACTCTCATAATCAGCATGTGCATTGGGCAATGGGAACTGGGAGAATGGTTCCCTGTTTGGGGCTTCAAAGAGGTTAGGTTAGAATAAGTAGAGGATAAGCGGGAGGATAATTAGAGGATAACAGGGAGATGGAGAAGAGGGCGACAGAGGATGAGATGGTTGGATGGTGTCACCGATTCAATGGACATGAACTTGGGCAAACTCTGGGAGATGGTGAGGGACAGGGAAGCCTGGCATGTTGCAGTCCATGGGGTCCTGAAGAGTTGGACACAACTTGGTGGCTGAACAACAACCAAAGGGGGTGATGCTTGTAGACAGAATAGGTGAGCTGGACAGCACATGCTCATCAGCTCCATCTTAGGCAGGTCAGCCTTTTTTTTTTTTTTTTAAATAGATGGCTTTTCAGATCAGTTTTAGGTTCACAGTAAAACTGAACAGAATGTTAGAGATTTCCCATATACTCTCTGCCCACACGCGTGGCAAGCCAATTCTTTAATCCTTTTAGTATTTGACAATGAACCTGTTTTATAAGTTAACAGTGGGTGTTAACTGTATTTGAGATTCTCATATATGCTCTGATGCTCAGAGACTACATAGCATATAATAGTGTGTGCATGTCTCATGATGTTTTCAGATTTAGTACATAGAAGAATCAACTGGGGAGTGTTAAAATGCTCACAAACAATCTAATTCCTTGGGTCACTGGTGAGATCTGGGGAGCTGCATTTTCAACAAGTTACCACCCCATCCCCAGCTTAGGTGAGGTAAGGTTAATTTGTGAAGAGAAATAACAGATCGGTAAGTGACTGGTAAGTCACTAAAAGTGTAATAGGAAGTTGTATACCAGGTAATCTGGTTGTTAATGTATGCCTTCTGAAGGGGCCTGAGTACTAAGGTCCTATGACGGGTAAGTTTTGATATATGGACGTGGTTAGGAAATGTGGAGAGCGGAGGAAACGAACTGTATATGGCAAGTCATCCATGGTGGTGGCTTCAAGCCCACCATCCCCAGTGCGTTATGTGATGGCTGTTGGGTGGCTGGGAATTGAACCAGGACATCAGGAGGAGGGGGAAGACAATGAAAGCCAATCTCCTCTGAGACACAGATGTGTCTGGATTTAGCCTCGCTGGTTTTACTCACTTAAATATTTTAGTGGTGGTGTATTTTGACTCCCCCAGTTAGCTGTTCTCGGTGGGTATCAGAGAAGACACCTCTATAGGCTACCGCCTCCTCAGTTGTTGCCCCTTCCCTGGGACCGAGGGACCCGACAGGCTTCATTCACAATGTCCAGGGACATCCCAGACGCATCTGAACCCTCCCTTCTCAGGTTCCCAAAGGTCCTGAGGCACTGCAGTCGGGCTACTACTTGACTGTCCTAAATCAAAGTGGTAGGAGGAGGGTTAATGGCAACAAATTCCCTCTGAAGCAGAGCTACTAAATTCCAGGTGAAGAGAAGGTCACAAAAAGTTTCCCTGAAATTGACTTACTTTTAGACATGGTGCCATTCTTGAGATCTGACCTTTAGAGGTTGTACAATTTTGACAAAGGCCTTTTGGGTCTTTAGCAATTCTCACTCTTCCTCTTATCAACGATCTCAGCAAATAACACCACAGCCTCTCTAGTCACTCCCACTGGAAACCCAAGCCCCACCCTGACTTCCAGCCTCTCACCACACACACAGGTTTGCCAATTTTACTTTCTGGAAATTTTTTTTTTTTTAACCGTAACTTAAAGTACATTTAGAGTTGATGTGAAGGGACGCAGAAGTGAGACTGAACCTAGAAACAGAGAGAAGACATAGGGATCGTGGCTAGAGTAAGGCTGCTTCATAGTGTGTGAGGAGGGATGGGCCACTGATGGAGCAGGAAGAGCCGTTTGGCTTTGGAAAGCAGAGAGAGACCCACTAATGGGCTGAGATGAAGGCAAGGCATACTCTGAGGAGGAAGGAATCAGAGGTTTGGGAAGGTTGGGTTAGGAACACCAGAGACACAGGCTGTGAGGCTGTGCTGAGGGCTTGCTGAGCTCTGCTGGATGGAGCTGCGTCTGAACCACCTGTTCTTATGAAGCTCGTTGTCCGATGACGGAAACAAGAGCCATTTCTGAAATCACCAGTGGACTCATCCAGCTCATCACAGTCTGCTTTTCTCTCGGCTTGCGTTGTTGAAGGTTCTTGCAGCAACTGTTCCTAAACTTCACCAGGCGCCTCTGGCTCTCCCTTCTCTCTCCATCGGACTCCTTTTTTTTAATCCTGGTAGTTTGATGTTTAAATGTTTTTAAGTGTTCATTATTTAATTGTTTATTTAAATTAAGTTCTCCAGTTTATTTAAACTAAAAAAAAGTCAAAACAGTTTAACTTCTCCTCCCTGCTCTCTGCCTCTATTCTGTCTGTGAGCTTGTTTTTAATTTGGTTGTTTGCTTTTTTAGATACCATATGTAGATGAGATCCTATGATGCTTATCTTTCTCTGACATGTTTCTTAGCATAATGCCCTCCAGGTCCTCCCATATTGCTACAAATGGAAGGATTCCATACCTTTTTATGGGTGAATAATAGCCCATTGCATATACATATATATGCAAGATGTTGTGGAAAAATCAGAATGAAATTTTTGCTTTTTGGCCAACTATATGCATGTATGTATGTGTGCGTGTATGTACATATATATATATATATGCTCTACAGTTTATTTACTTATCCACTGATGGACATTGTTTCCGTATCTTGGCTATTCATAAATAATGCTGCAGTGAACATACGGGTTCATTTTATTGTTGTTAAGTCCCTAAGTCGTGTCCGACTTTTTTGTGACCCCAGGGACTGTAGCCCACCAGGCTCCTCCGTCCATGGGATTTCCTAGGCAAGAAAACTAGAGTGGGTAGCCATTCCCTTCTCCAGGGGATCTTCCTGACCCAGGGATCAAACCTGTGTCTCCTGCATTGGTGGGTGGATTCTTTACTACTGAGCCACCAGGGAAGCCCTTTAAAATTTTATCCATTCTAGTAATGATAACCCTATATGCAAAACAGAAAAAGAGACACAGATGTACAGAACAGACTTTTGGACTCTGTGGGAGAAGGTGAGGGTGGGATGTTTTGAGAGAACAGCATGTATATTATCTAGGGTGACACAGATCACCAGCCCAGGTGGTATGCATGAGACAAGTGCCCGGGCCTGGTGCACTGGGAAGACCCAGAGGAATCGGGTGGAGAAGGAGGTGGGAGGGGGAATCGGGATGGGGAATACATGTAACTCCATGGCTGATTCATGTCAATGTATGACAAAACCCACTGAAATGTTGTGAAGTAATTAGCCTCCAACTAATAAAAATAAATGAAAAAAAAAACCTGAAAAAAAAAAATTTTATCCATTCTAATATGAGAGTTGTGGTACCTCATTGTAGTTTTAATTTTGCTTTTCCTATTGATTAATGATGCTTTTTTAAATGAAATTATATATCATCCACCAAAGACATTTACTGGTGAAGTGTGTGCTCGATCCTTTGCTCACTTAGAAAGCAAATTATTTTCTTATTATTGTGTCTTATAGTGTATTATTATATAATATATTATAATTATATTATTGTAAAATAATATAATTATTTTATATATGTCAGATATATAAAAATATATATCTGTATACAAGCTCTTTGTTAAAATATATGTTTTGCAAATATTTCCTCCTTTTCTGTGGTTTACTTTATCATTTTCTTAACAGTGTCTTTGTGAAGGACCAAAGTTTTAAACCTTGGCTAAATCCAACTTATTAATTTTTTATTTTTATAGATCATGTTTTTCTTTTGTATTGTATGTGTGCTTTTTGTATTGTGTGTAAGAGTTCTTTGCTTAACCAAAGGTCACAAAGATTTTCTCTTATATTTTCTTTTCAAAATTTAAAAATTTAACTTTTATGTTACTATCCATATCGGGTTAATTTTTTGTAAATGGTGTGAGATATGGATTGAGGTTCAAGTTTTTTTACATACAGATATTCAATTGTTCCAGCATCATTTGTTGAAAAGATTCTCCACTGTATCTTTTAACTCTTAACTTTTGCAGTTCTTCAAAAATCAGTTGGTCATTTGTGAATTTATTTCTGGACTTTCTATTCTGTTTCATTAATTTATGTATCTTTTCTTTAACCAGCTTCATTAACTATAGCCTTATAGTAAGTGTTAACATCAGTTTAGTGCAAACTCTCCAACACTCTTTTTCATTTTTGAAATTGTTTTTGGCTATTCTCATTCTTCCACTTTTCCATAGAAATTTTAGTGTTAGTGTGTGAATTTCCACAATACATCCTGGTAAAACTGAATGGGATGGTGTTAAGTTTGTAAGTCTACTTGGGGAGAACCATACATGGTGTATCTCCCCATTCATTTAGTTCCTTTTTGTTTTGTAGTTTGCAGTATACAGATCTTACACATACTGTTTGCTTTACATTTAGGCATTTCATGCTTTTAGGTACTATTAAAATAGTTCTTTTTCAATTTCAATTTTTCATTGCCAATGTATAAACATATAATTGATTTTTGTATACTGATCATGTATCCTATGATCTTGCCAAACTCACTTATTCTAGTTTTTTTGCGGGGAGGAGGGTAGACTCTGGAATTTTCTACATTGATAGTCATGTTCTCTGTAAAAAGAGACAGTTTTATTTTTTCCTTTTTGCTCTCTATGCCTAGTTTCTGTATGTGGTTTAAACTGCTATTTCACCTAGAACATTTTATTTTTAGAAAAATATTTTAATAAGTTTAAGTCTTTGCCAAATGGTCTTTCTGAATAATTAAAAGGGATTAGACCCGAAAGGCCTGGGCCCAACCAGATATTGGACTTGGGTTGAGTTGTAGGTTCATACCTGTTTTTACCTCAAATTCTTATTTCAGGATGTGGCTTATCTTTCCTCATAGCTCATTGACTGACCTCCTCTATCATCAGACTAGAGAATGGGCATGAATATGCTTTGCATTTACAGAATCAAAGAGGTTCCAATTACCACTAGAATTTTTAACTTGGGCAATTCCCCAGGATCACCAGGTACTGACATCACCTTGATGCTTATGAGAGATGAAGCTCTCGGGATTGCGTTTACATGATGGACTTAATTCTAATCTACATTTAGGGCCAGCTCTTCTTAAGGAGAACTAAGACCCTGAAGAACAGTCCTGTGATGGCTGACTACGTGTAGGCCAAAACTCAAGCCTCTTCTTTCCCCAACGCTACAGGGCCCTGAGCCGTTTGTTTCTTCTGCTCTGCCACGTGGAAGGTCTTTACAGTTTTCACCCTTCAGAGCTAGGCTACAAGATGATGATCAGGACATATTGTATAGCTTTGGTTCTTGCTTAATAGTGACCAGTTTTTTTCCTATTTTGGTTTGGCCAATGGCCAAATGGGGCCAATGGGGATGATATGCAGAGTATGTCATGTAGCCAGAGGACCCCCATGTCTGCAGTCATCATTGCTGTCAGTGGGAAGGAGCCTGGGAGTGGCCCTGAGACAAAGCCTCCTCACTGAGCTGAGGCCAACTCCAGTGTGAGCTCAGCTGGTACATTTGACACCCCAGGGTCCATCTCCCTTGCTGGAGGGTGCAGGAGTCGTGGGAGCAGGGCCTCTATTTATTTATTTGTTTGGCTGTACCGGGTCTTAATCGTGACACATGGATCTTTAGCTGTGGCATGTGGGCTCTAGTTCCCTGACCAGGGATTGAACCCAGGCCCCCTGCATTAGGAACACAGAGGCTTAGCCAGTGGATCACCAGGGAAGTTCTGGAGACTCTATCTTATACTCACGACCCCAGGGCCTGACTCAGGGCTTGACTGAACAGACCTATCAATACACCTAGCAGTCAGTCCGGCCCAGTGGAAAGGTCAAACCTCAGCATCAGATTTGAGGCTGAGCACAGCTGCCTGTCCAAGTCACTTATTCTCTTAAAGCTGTGTTTTTCCCATCTGTGACATGTGGCTATTATCTATCTCATTTGTGATCATGGTAAAATGCTTAATTCATTAGAACTTTTATGTAACAGATACACTGTGTCACTCAATCCTAACTACTAGCAGATCCTCCCCAAGCTGGCTGCTTCCCTTGGTTGAGAAGGAACTCAGGGGCTGCTGCACAGTTTGGGCATCCCAGTGGCATCAATGTGGCTGCCGTTGCCAGGGGAGTGCCCGTGAGATAACCAGGTGCTCAGAGTATCTAAGATGCTAAGTGGTCTATGTGCAGCGGTAACTGCAGAGGTGGTACCCAGGCTATGTGAGCATCCACACTAGTGTCAGCATCCAGGGTTTTATATTCAGCAGGATCTATAGGACAGTCTAATGTGAACGGGCTGGCCCATGTCTGGAAGGCATGGAAAAGATCCAGAGAACAGGTTCTCTTCCTAAATTTCAAGAGATGTGCTCTAACCTTTCAGGCTACAATTCACTAGGCAAGTTTCAACAAAGTATTTCTTCATTGTTTTTCCTGGTGTCCTGGATCCTTTCTGAAGGGCCCTACCACTTGCCATATAATTTGGGGTTTGTGAGAATGCTGTTGTTAACACTTTATTTTGAATTTTATTTTGAATTTTTCAAAGTCCCCAAGCTATAGGAAAAGCTGTGATCCTCATAAGGTTAGTCTCTGGTGGAAAAATGCATATTCCTGACGCACTTGTCTTGGTATTTTTTTTCTTATTTATTTTTTAAATTAAGACCTTTGATGATATTCTGAAACTGTTTGACATGACCTCATTTTGAAGGTAGCCACATAAGTTTCTGCAGTCTAAATAATTTAATCCCTCAGTTGGAGAGTAAACTTTCAAGCAATAATATTTTGGGATCACATATTTATAATGATCACATATTTATAAGGAAATAACTGGGTGTTATCTCCTTCTTGAAAAGTCTATTCTGCATCAAAATAGGAACACATCAATATGGTCACAATTTTATAATGTGCATACACACCCCTATGTGTTTCTGTGTGTATGTTCATGTGTGCATGTCTATAGGCAGTAAAACTAGCTTTTTCTAGGAGTGGTGGTATTTTGATTTTGTGTTTTTCTGTATTTCAAAATATTTGCAATGATTAACAGAGAAACAATCATCACTGTCCATAACAACAGAAGAGCTTTTAAAGAATATCTTTCCCAGGCTCAGGCCGAAAATATAAAATGTTATTATAAAATAAAAAATAGTATCATATTTGTTGGCCAGATACTTTCAGAAGTGAGAAATTAAGGAGAGATTTTTAAGGCTGAGTTTACCAGAAGTGATCACCTCAAAGGTAGTCTATAAATCTACAGTTCTAGTACTGAGCCCTGATGCTGAGGGTTTGTCTGTTTCTTTTTGTTAACCAGATTGAAAAAGAGGAGCAAGCCGACCCCTCGGAAGAAGTGATGGAGGAGTTTCAAGTGAACGGTCAGCCTCAGCTCCTGCACTCTCTGCTTCTCGACGCACGTGCCCTGGGACAGGTCCCCCGGCTTTGAATATGACGCAGGGGCCGCCACCTGCTGATGTGGCCACGGCCGATGCCCACAGTCCCCGCGGGGCGGGCGCCGCCGGGCAGCCTGCCTGGAGGTGAGAGGAGACACCTGTGTGCGTTAGGCTCCAGGCGGCGGGTCCCCGCAGCACCCCCCAGGCTCCACAGTCCTGTCCGCTGAAGGGTGGACACAGGTCTCCAGGATCTCTGGAGCAGGACGGCCCCACTGCCAGCCCATGTGTTGTCCTCCAAACTCAAGACCCTCCGTGCCTGGCATCTTGTTGCCTAGGCTGACTGTTAATCCTCGACCGCCTCCTTTGTCTGACCTCCTTAACCGGTCCCTGGACTAGCTCACAGTCAGAGGCAAGACTCAAATTCTTTTATAGTAAGACTTGGGGCTGCCAAATGGTCCGGAGATGCAAGGAGATTCCCAGGGAGGGTAGGAGCTGTCTAGACACGCCTGTTAGTGTGCCTCATCAGAAGCTGGAGAAAAGTCACGAGGAAGGCGCTCCCTCCCAGCCCCAGGCCCCTGTCTCCAGCCTCACACAGGGATCTGTGGGTGTCTCCTCCCGACCCCCTCCTGGGTGACAGCAAACACTCTCAGGCAGCCATCTAAGTCCAACCCCTCTGGACAGTCTCAACTCCAGCGCTATCTGCTCTGTAAAATGTGTAACCCTGGCAAGTAATCTGGGCTCAGTACCCTGCCCGCCTCCCCTCTCCAGAATGCTCAGAGACAAGGCTGCTAAGTCGGCCCCTTGGGAGGCAGCGCTGCTGTTTTCCCCCCCTCCCCACCTCAGGACGCAGGCGGACCCCAGGGCACCTTCGCAGGGCCAGAAAGGGTGCTCAGACAGCTGCTGTTCTCAGGCCGTGGAGCCCCAGATTCCTGGGGGAGGGCTGAGCCCTGCCCCCCACCCCCGCTCTCCCTGCCTGGACCCCTTTATATACTGTAGAGGGATCAGGAAAACTAGGAGAGGAACTTGGCCTTCGGGAGAGGAGAATTAAGCCAGGGGAAGGGTGAGTTAGGGCAGCTGAGCAGTCCAAGACCTCCCTCCCTGTGTGTGAAACCATTCCATGGTGTGTGGGGCGCTGAAGCCAGTTATCAGGGAGCAGGGTTGGGGTTGACTTCTCATCTCTTCTTTTTGATTTGTTCCCACTGTCCGTAGCCCTAGGCTCTTGAAAAGGACTTTGATCTGGAGGATGGGCTCTAGATCAGGGCCATAGGAACTCACTCCCTCACCCCTCTCTGGTCCTCCTATACTCCTTATACATATGCACGTGTTGGGGGGCAGTGCCCCAGGTAAACCAGAGGACCCTCAGACCACCTGGTGCTCCTGTGGATTGGGGTGTGTGTGTGTGTGTGTGTTTAGAACCTTGGCTTTGGGAGAATATCTCTGGGCTTGTCTTCGCTCCCAGGCACAAATACTGGAGGGCCACTCTGAGTCCTCTGTCGATCCCACGGCCCTGGAGGACCCTGACTGCTGAAGCTGACCATGACAGAAGACCACGCTCCCTCCAGGGCTGACCTTGGTGTCGGATTCCGCTGTGTAACCCAGCAGTGGCCTTGTAGGAGCACCCCTCCGTGAGCTACTTTCCCTACCCAGCTCAGAGAGGAGGGATGGAAGGAGAGAGTTGAGGGCCTCCATCTCTCTTCAGGCTCCCGTGGGATCCATTCCAGAAGGCTATTCCAACTTGTTTTTGCCACTGTGCCTATTGGTTTCTAAAGCTGGGGTCGAAGGGTAGAGGATACAGGGAACAGATCCTCCTCCCAGTCCTCCACTCCTCCAACCCTTCTACTCATGAGGCCCAAGGAGGGGAGGCAGAGCCAGGCCCCAACCCCAAAGGGTACAGAGCTCGTTGTTCACTTTGCTTGTGACTCACGCCCTTTCGCTACCCATCAAGACCTTACTTTCTTGCCTCTTTCTGGTTTCTGCTTTTGTACGTGTAAATGATATGTGGTCATATCTATTAGTGCTTGTGCCAACCTCAGGGCCCTATTCTTACTGTTCATTCTGCTGTGCTGTTCTGGCCCCAGATCTTTGCACTAATGCCTTCAACTCAAATACCACGTCAGAGAGGCTTCCTTGGGAAGTCAGTGTGGTTTCCATAGTTACGCTCTATCGCATCACTCTAGCAGTGATCACCTTCTCCAACCATCTTGTTCATATATTTACTTGTTTATTGCTTGGGACCCCATCCCCTCCTAATGTAAACTCCACAACTGCCAACACTTGCTTACTGCCACATTCTAAGTTCCCAACACTAGTAAGAACTCAATAAATGCTTGTTGACTGGATGGACGTTTGTCTGTTATTCTTAAAATAGGCACAGTTTTCCAAAAGTTCAGAGAGAGAAGTCAAAGGTGTCTACTGTGCCCAGCAGCAAGGAACCTTCTGGGGCGTGACCCTGTAGGGCATCCTCCTTGAGAATCCATGGGAGGCGAGGACAGAAACTGGGGAAGGGAGATTCAACTCCCTCAACTAAGCTCCACCAGGAAGGGAGGCAGAGGAGGGGGCCAAGGCAGGAGTGTTCCATGAACCCAGCTGACACCTGGCATGTTGAGTGCTGCTGGGAAGGAGGCAGCAGAGTGGGTGTAAGGAGGAGGAGGAGGAGATAACTGGTGGAGTCAGGAACTGAGCAAGTTCTGGGAGACAGTGAAGGACAGGGAAGCCTAGCATGCTGCAATCCATGGGGTTGCAAAGAGTCAGACACGACTCAGCAACTGAACAGCAGCAACTGAGGAGGCTGGCGAGAGGAAGCCAGGGCACAGGTGAGGGCATCAGGTGTGGAGCAAGGGTTCCTTCTCATCAGAAAAAAGGGAAGGAGAGCATAGGTTCTGGTGGGTTTGCAGGGTCAGTGACAGGAGCCTGAGGCAATTTCTGCCCGTGGCTTTGCTTTTCTACTGGAGTAGGAGGTGAAGTGTCCTGTTCACAAATGGGGGTGATGTTGGTGCTGTTAGTGGTCAGAGATATGAGGAGAGTGGAGAGGATTATAAAGATATCACTTTATCTAAGGTCTTTGAAATCTTCTTTAAACCTTTCTCCAGATGAATTTCAATAATTAATTTTTAGTTCAAGGCAATATCGTGACACTAAGTTGTTGTCTATAATGTCACATTTAAATGTGAATCTAAGATCTAAATCTGAGACCCATGTGGTCTCAGGAGGAAGATGGAAGAGTTGGAGAGAAAATGCAGAGTTTGATCTTCCCAAAGAATACAGAATCACAAGGAAGCTTTCACTATGGGAAGCTGCAAAAATGCTGACACTTCACAGTGAGATGGGGCTGTGCTATGGGACAGTAAATTGCTGAGTGTCCATGTAGTTTGCTGTTCAGACACCAGAGAAATGTGAAAACTTATTCTTCCAGGAGAGCTTCTTGCCTGACTCCATAGCACATCTGTCAGCCCCATTAATAACATCACTAACAGGTACTTACTATCTCTACTGAAATAAAATGAAGTATTTTTAACAGACAAAGATGATGCTGTTGGCCCAAGAGTGGGGTGTTTTATTTGCAATTTGGAGAGATTTTGCTTACTCATTCTTCTTATTTGTAACACAGGTACACACTTGTAAGAATGCTGGGTAAGGATAGTGATAAAATTTTTCTGTTGAGTATCAACTATCTATCTATCCTGTGCCACATAGAGTTTTATGTTTATAAGTAGGAGAAGTTGGTTATGGCCATTGAATCAAGACCTTGACTTTATCGCTATTATGTTGCAAACTGGAAATTGCCAAACTGAGTTTGGTGAAACCCTGGGGTACTTGGAAATGCCACCTTATAAGCTAAGAGGGAAGAGAACCAACAGGTGTCCAGGCCACCTCCATGTCAACTAAAGCAGCTTTTAGGGTCTATGTTGATTTCTAATTTTATATAGATAAAGGGTCCCACTAGGGTAAAAGAGTCAAAAATCTCTACTTTCATGGCTAAAGCAGAAAGAAAAAAAATTTTTTTTGGCCTTGCCATGTGAGTTACAGGATCTGAGTTCCCTGACCAGGGATTGAACCTATGCCCCAGAAGTGAAAGTGCCAAGTCCTAACCACTGGACCAGGAGGGAATTCTCAAATATTGATAGAATACTTATGTTAGTAATTTTCTAAGTGATTTCTTGAAGAGTGTATTCTTTGGTAATGACATTATAGATTTAGGTTCAGTTGATGGGTAAGGGTATTTCAATGATTACTTATTGCCTCTAAGGCAACATTCACCTACCACCAAGTTGAGTGTTTTGACTTTTGATCAAAGTTTATCCAACATTTGGACGAGCAAACCAACATAGATTAGCCAATAGTTCTGATAATTATTTTTGTTTTAAGCAAATTGATATAAAAGTTTTATATTCAACATGGATCATATTCAAACTCATCTCTGTTGTACAAGATACATTTACTGTATAAACTATATTAATAGCACATAAAACAGGTTTGAGGAGAGTGGAGAAAATGAAAGGTGACAGCTCAAGGGGTGGTCTTCATAGCAAATCCGATATCTATCAGATTTGAGTCATTTGGTTCAAAAAGATCTCTTAACAATAAAACTAAGTTCTGAGATACGCTCAGTCTCTAAGTCCTGTCTGACTCTTTTTGATCCCGTGGACTGTATGTAGCCCATCAGGCTCCTCTGTCCATGGAATTTTCCAGGCAAGAATACTGGACTGGGTGGCCATTTCCTCCTCCAGGGGACTTTTCCCGATCCAGGGATCAAACCCACATCTGCTGTGTCTCATCCTTTGACAGGTGGGCTCTTTACCACTGAGCCACCTGGGGAGCCCGAGTTCTAAGACAGTGTTAGCCTAATGACCAAAATAACATTCACGGTGGATCTGGAAGCATCCCAACATAACCTGAGGCTGGAAACCTGGGGGGCAGGTGGTAATATCAGGAGAAGCTCCTTTCTAGAACCCATAGGCTGCATG